GAAAAGTGAACTTTTCGGCACTCTCCGCGTGCCTAAAAGTCCAATTTCCGCCACATTGTGATGAAATAGTATATTTCGTAACGAGTGCAAAATAGTATATTTCGTAACGAGTGCAAAAAACATTTTTTCACGAGTTACGAACAATATTTTTCATCACAACGTGGCGGAAATTGGACTTTTAGGCACGCGGAGAGTGCCGAAAAGTTCACTTTTCGTCACAGCGTGATGAAAAAATAGTTTCATTTGTTAATTTTGTGTTTTAAATGCTTTCGGAATTTGAAAAATTGGGAAAAAAATTAATTATAATTGAACAATTGCATGCACAGTGTGAGAAACACTGTGCGTAGAGGCTGCATCATCCCCACCGGCAGTCAAGCAACGAAATTTGAAGTTACCAAGAGAGAAAGAGAGAGAATGAAAAAAAGGAGTTTGAGCAGGAAAATTGCCTGCAGCTACGTACAGACAAGGACAGAAAACATTTTTTGAGACTCCTCGAGGGAGTATGAGGTGCAGTGAGACGGGGGAGGGGTGGGGTGATGCCTCACGATGGAACGCGCACATACATACGAAGGGGGAAGCTGAGACGCGAGCCGTTCTCCCTTCCCTGGGCTCGTGGCGCGCGCCGTACCACAGCCACCATCCCCCCACTATGTTTTATTCGGCCTCGGGGCGCACACCGCGTGCGTTCGTGCGAGCATCTCCGATATATACTCTCGGCTCGCGCGCCATCCCATCCACTGGCTTCGTTTTTTATACATCAGTATATTTTGGATGTGTATTGGTGTACCGGCTGCCGAACGACTTTGGCCACCACCACATGCGTATGAGGGACGGCGAACAGGTATGCCCTGTTCCCTTCTCTGTATCATGAAGAGAAAAAGAAGAGTGCACTCATTGCGTAGGTTGTCACGGCGAAAGTAACCGGTGACTCCTCAATTTTTTGCCAATTTTAGTCGGAATTTTATGTTTGTTTTAAATTACATTCATTTTCACTACTATTCTTTGGGGTATGGCCATTTTTAATCATTTTTGGGGAAATTTCCGGGATACTTCTTGGAAATTTTTAGCATATTGCTGTTTCACTGAAATTTCGAGGAATTTTATCCGTGAAAATTGGAAAGTTTATGAGAGAATTAATGGAAATTGTAAATTTCAGTTTAATTATTTCATGGAAATTTAGAAAATACAGGGAAATTCAGGTAAATGCATTCTTGAATTTTCTAATTAATTGGAATTCAGCGTAATTCGAGACTGGATATTCTTTTTTTGGTGAAGATCCATGCAATTTGGGGAATTGTCGTCTGCCTGCTGCTAAAGAATTTAGAATTCCATTGAATCTTCAGTGACATCTGAAATTTCATGATTTCTGTTTTCCTGAATTGAATTCACAGTCGCTGTCCTGAGAGCTACTGTCTGTATCACGTTGTTGTTTCACTGAAATTTAAAGTGATTTCATCTTTACTTTATGAGAGAATCAAGAGAAATTGTAAATTTCTGTTTAATCATTTCATAAAAATTAAGAAAATACAGGGAAATTCGGGTGAAGTATTCTGGAATTTTCTAATTTATTGGAATTCGGCGTCATTCGATACCAGATACTCATGTTTTTGGGGACAATTCACCAAAGTTGGGGACTTGTCGTCTTCCTGCTGCTAAAGGATTTGGAATCTCATTAAATCTCCAGCGACATCTCAAATTTTATGATTTTGTCTCCCCTGAACTGAATGCAATGTCCCTCTCCTGAGGTACTAGTCAACTGTCTACGAAATTTTAGTTTTTTTCTAATTGTGCAGCCGAAACAAACTGAAAGCTCTGCAACTGATAACACCTCGAAACCTCATTGACGAAACATTATTGAATACTCAAGGAATAGACTGGAATTCCGTTCAACCTTTTTTACTCTATATCAAGAGAAAAAACGCGAAGGGAATGCGAAAATGGATTAGGGAACATTTTTTCACTTAAAAAATTGAAGATAAAAATTTAATTCTCATTTTTTAGGAAAATGATTCGGAAAAAATACAAAATTATGTAGGGAATTTTACTAAATGGGAAGAGGTAATGTTTGCTCTCACAGGAGTCATGTTTTTACTCGACGAAACAATTTTCCTGCACGCAAAATATTTTTATCAAATTGCATTTCGTAAAACTCGAGTGCGTTTCGAACAGTAAAATTTGCGGTGATTTTCAGTATAGGGGAATGGTGCCTATATACCCCAGCGCGTAATACCGCTTCATCCACTTATCTCCACAACCCCAACATTTTTCACGCTTTTTCTGTTCCAATATCGAGAATGAAATATCAAACAGTATTTACCACGAAAGATTGACACTTCATCATTTTTAATTGAAAAATATCAGCTGTTGACACTTTCATGTCCTTGAAGTGTAAAATTTTTGGATGAGAATGTAAAATTCTTCACTAGAGACAGAGATTTCATGTTTTCTGACTGAAAATTCGATATTATTCATTAAATTCAGTTATTTTACACCGAAGAATTTTCATTGTTTCAATAATTTTGTGAATTATACGAGTAATCAAGTATTTATAGTCAAAAAAAATCAATGAAAAGTTTTGAATGCAAAAAACATGATTATTTCGTAGCTGGGCGGTACATCGACATAAAAAAAAATAAAAACCATATATTTTATATATTTATTTAAATGAATTGGGCCAATTTAAGATAATTTTTTATATATTTTTCAAAACATAAATTTTTCCTTATGGGCATGCACCACCTACCCTAATTCTCAACTTTCCTCTCCCTATGCAATGATAAATCCTATTCATGATTTGTTTTTTCCCAGTGCATCCAAAGAAGTTGAAAAATGCCGAGTGCAAACATAACAATCGGCCAGAATTCGTAAGCACTTTGTTTCCCTTCATTTGTATATTATTCTCTTCGATTTTATTCTCCTCTTGTTTTCGATTGCATTCACGGCGCTATATATGGGGTTGGCAGGGCGTTTTTGGGGGCCAAAGAGAACACCGCCTACCGGTACGTGGCAATAAATCGGATGGCACTTCTCAAAGACAAAAGAACAAACCGAACGTGGAAACAGGTAGTCCCCCGAGAAGCGAATTGTCTCGTTGGATTTCTCGGTTTATTTCTCTCTGCTTCATTTTACCATTGTTCCAGCCGTCTCTCTTCGTGTGTCTAACTTGCCTTCTCCTTTTATGTGCTCCTTTTTTTCCGGGGGATGGGGCAAGGAGCCAATGGAGGAGTCATGATCGTGACGGCGGGCGATTCGTCGCGATGCTAAAACAGACAGGCGTTCGTTCAGACACGAGACGACATTGTCGTCTGAGAAGAAGTTTTATCGGCAATACGCGATCACCATTTATTTATGGGCCTCTTAACGGTGGATGAAATGTCTTAACAGCAAGTCAATGTCTTGACAACTCGCAGCGAGGATTGGGGAGAACAGGCGTATGTGATAGCAGTTATACACTTCATCTTAAAAAATTCTGCGTCAAGCCAAATTGTACGATTTTCACTACAAAAACCAGGTGTCTGACAGCTATCTGAATTTAAGGTGTCAGATGGTAAAAAACATCTGAATCTTCAAAAGTGTCTGAAAATCTGACTAATGTCTGAAAATTTCAAGCACCGTTTCTGTTTGAAAATGATGGTAAACAGTTTTTATGTCTGAAAAATTTCAGGTAGTTATTTTCAGATAATTTCTGTGTCTGAAATTCAGTTATTATTTTTATTTTTAACGGAATTCGTTAC